CTGCAGCTGAATAACCCGGGGATGTTCTCTTCGGCTGCCTCCTGGCTACAAAGCATGACAGTGAAGTATCAGTAGAAGCTTCAAAGCCAGCGAGCTGTCCCAAAACTTACCAAGCTTTGAGTAATTGCTACCAGTAAACCTCGGTTGACTAAGTAAGAGCTCAACATCTCCAATACTATCCAGGATTTCACGAAGAAAGGCGTCCTTTTCCATGGGCTCCACCAAACCGATCGTCGTAAACTGGTGTGTCGGTCCAGAATTCACGACTTCTTCGTCGATTGTTGCCGATGTAGCACCATCCAGGCTTTCAACTGATTCAAAACCTTCTTTTCCTTCTTGGCGAATGGTCGAAGAAACGCTACCTCCCGTTAACACAGTTGATTCTATTCTTTGTACTGATTCAGTGGCATGGCTTCCGGCTCCGAGTGTCGAGGGCACTTCCATTGAAATTGCTGGACTGAGACTAGCAAAATCCTTCTGATCGTAGTTATTGTTCACAAATTCCACTGAGTTTGGCTGACCAGCCTGGTGATCGATCGCATTGGCATTCGGGGAAGGTAAGTCGATATCAAAAGGCTGATTGGTGTGTGCATCAAACACACATGGTTCGGTCGAGACTCGACGAGGAGATCCACCATCCCACGACTCGGTCAACTCGTCGAAAGTATCATGTGATCTTGTAGTAGATTTGGTAGGCGAGTTCATCGGAGAAAAGTGAAGCCTCACCTGGTTCCATACTGAAGGGAGCTCCTGGTTCCTAGATGCTCGAGCTCGTCGCTTATTATCCGCCAGCATTTTACGAAAACGAAACAATTTCTCAGCCTGATTCTTCTTCTGTTGTTGTCCCAAGAATCCTAAAATCGCGCTGACATCCTCATTCCGCTTCTTCAGTACCGATCCCTGGCCTTCCATCGCAAAAATTAGCATAACAAACTTGATGACGACCACAGTACCGTCACTACTCTCGCTTGTAGTTTTACCTCGATCAAGTTCACCCCAACGAAGGTGACAGGAGCAACGCACAAGAGTCTCGATAAATTCTGGAAAATTCAGCTCCTCAGTCTCAGGAGAAAAGCAGCACGAAAGACGAACGGCATTTTCAAGCTCGCGGCGATGAAATAGTTGAGGGAACACTCGAACCTGCTTCATGAGACTGATAAACGCGTTGCTACTCATTCGATAGTCTCGTGGTTTATCTGTCGTTGAAGAGCTTTGGACAGCTTGGCGTAGAAAAAACTGTCCAAGTACTCGCATGTATTTTTTGATAGTCGGAATCAACTTTTCCAGGGCGATATCCATGTCTGCGGGCATAGATTTCCAGATCCAAAATGACTTTACCGGGCCATATTTTGCTCTTTTTCGGTGTACAACATGCGGTCGCAAGTGATTCTGTGCTAACCAGTCCAATGCATTTAGTGGAGCAGTGTTATGTTGTCGAAGGCTGTGATTAACATACTTCCGGTATGCCGGGTGACTTTCGACTAACTGCTCAAGGAACAGTTCAAAATCTATTCTCTCGTCCTCCTTACCAATGAAATTCCCTTTGAAGTTGGTGTTGTATACTTTCAGCAGCTCGTCGATGTAAAAATCATTTTGAAAAAGTGCCAAATCTCGAGCCATTCGAAAGCATGCTCGGAATCTAGATGATTTCAAGTCGGCATTAGCGTTTGCATACGCTATAACGCTGTCAACATAGAAAGCCACCACTTCTTTCAACACCGATGCGTCCCAAACACTGTCATTGTTCAAATGTGTACTAGCGATGATTTCATTCTCAAAACGACTGGCTTCACCTTCGTTATTTAGCCGTAGAATATCTGCCAGTGGCCTTCCTTCGTTGCCACTGGAATTCACCACTTTGATCTGCTTTTTGTGCATTGCTTTCCGTGTCTTAGTCAATCGAGGCTTCTGGAGTGGATCGATGTTCATAGTCTCCGAAACTGGGGTCAAACTCAGCGATGGATCAAACATAGGTGAAGTAACATTGCTCCCGACCCAGACTCCAAACTCACATCTATTAGAACCACCATCCAGTGAATGAAAACCCCTTAGATCGTCTTCGCGTCTTGAAATAAAAGGCTCGTTTCGTGCAGCACTACATGTAGAAGGGTCTTCAATGGTCTTTATGTTTTGTTCTGATCGGAGGTGTGGAGCAAATCGAACCCGTGTTTTAGCGTTTTTTACATGGTCACTTTGAATTTTAGATGTCCCAGCCCTGGTGTCCGATACTTCATCATCGAAAAGAGGTAGCACATTTTCTGGTCCCCTTGCGATAATTGGATGCGCCTTCTTGCTCGGTACGGACGAAGCAGGGCGATGGAGACGTTCGGGGGACCGAGTGACAGGACGCATAATCTGATGTTCTAAGCTCATTTCATTGCTGGGGGCAGGTAAAACAGGAGCATCTTGTTGCTGTACAGTAACGCTTTTAGCCTTCGACCCAGCCTGACGAGGCTTGTACTTAGCAATAGTCGTGCTGCAAGTTGTTTCTTCTTTTTTAAATCCTCCATGAGTAAGTTTAGTGCGTTCGCAGTTTTTAGGATAGTCTTCACCAATTCGATCCACTCGACTGCGAGGTTCCGTATCAATTACAGGATGATCGACGAAGACAGTCTTCGCACGGGTTGTTCTACTTGTTCCATCGTAGAGCTCGTCTCGCTCGTTTCGCAATACCTCCCTGCTTCTTTCCTGGTAGAACCGTGAATAGCTCGCGTACTCAGTGGGATCCAGCATCCGACGCATTTTTCGCATTGATTCCGTCCGAGTGTTCGGCGTATCCTTTGCGATCACTTTTACTTTCTCTTTCCGTAACGACAATTTTTTGTTCTCCTCCTTTCTATTGCTTCGTTTCGCTTGGGTAGCGTAGATTTGTTGTTGAGGATGATAATACGAAAGCTTACCCATTGCTTGCTGTGCATCGACTAAGACCTTTTCTTGCTTCGAATTAACGGTACTCTTCCACCACGATAGAATCACCTTCGAAAGCAGGCAGCAGCGGAAATGTTCGTTGGCAAGATTGCTTTCCTTATTGTACCCAATATACCACCTCCGAAACCAGCTACTCAAATGAATTTGTGCTGCTTTCTTCACATTCAGCGTAGACTCTTCCAGTTCGCGAAGTAATTTATGCTTCCAAAATGATTGTTTTTCTTGAAGATTTCTCCGTCTTACAACAAGGCATTTCCACTCATCCATCGAACGTTTTTGTAGCCATCGAAGCCGTGATTCTCGAAAGCAGCGTAAGCGCATTCCCAATCTGTTGTTACTTTTTGATATCGCCAACGCAACTTGATGCCAGATTCGGAATATACAACAAGCAGAATGGAAATCTTTCCAGTGCGACCAACATCGCCGAGCTTGACTGAGTTGGATCTTTCTGCGCAAGACTTTTATATTTCGACTTTGTTTGCATGCATGTTCCCACCGACACCATGCACGCGACATAATCGACGAGGCTGGATATTTTCCATACATCTTTTGAAAGTGAATTAGCTTTCGCGTGAAAGCTTTCAGCTGTGCTGAGTATTTGAGCCAACATAACAAGCACGTCCTTAATAACTGGCGCACTCGACTGCGTCTTAATGTAGACACGTGCTGACACACGTCAAACTTTGTTTTCCATTTCAGGAAATACGATGTCTGCAGCTTCATTACACGCTGACGGGATATAGTTTCACCACACAGACGAACACGGCGGAGGTACGATGAACTAGATCGCCAACTTCGAATGACGCTAGTGCAGAGTTTCCTCTCATAGACCCTTTCTGCTAGTTCATCAATAATACCGACCTTTTTCCACTTCTCCACACGAGATTTCCAGTGACCAAAGAGAACTTCAATAACCCTCCTACGTCGGTGAAAAGCAAAAATACGCAAACGAGACTCCACTTGAACATGTTGATGCCACTCAAGCAGTACTTGACGCTTTCTACGCTCTTGAAAGTGACGCTCACAATGGTAACGCTGTCGCCTTACAGCAGCAAATAATATCCAACGATCCCATGCTCGCCGCCTCGGATTGAAGGTCGATTTCTGGTATCTTTTCTGTAGATGATATAGTTGTTGTAACATTCTATTCCGCGACTGTGTCAAGGAAAACCATGCTCTAAAATGTCGTTTCTTTAAACAAATCCGCATGTTTTGTCGGAGTTGATGCGCTCGTAGAGAGCTCTGAGTGTTTTGATACACAGCACCCCACAGAACATTTACTCCTCGCTGAAGTAAATGCAGTCGATAGTGCTCTTGAGCCTTGACAAGTCGTTGAGCGTGTTCTAATCGCATCTTGTAGTAGGTCTTCCATCCTTCAAAAGATCGCTTGCAGTAGAACTTCCCATGAAGAACTTCTGCTCGCTCTTCCTTAAGATGGTAAGTCTGTTGTATATGGTGGAACCGCTTCCACGCCTTGAAATACCGTACTTTAAGAACTGTACAAGAGTGTTTTACGGCCAATCTTGTGCGGTGAACTGTAAGCCAACAATCAAGCCAAACGCGCCGAAGTAGACGAGTCTGCCATATTTTCCGTATATGACTAATTTCAGCTCTCATTCGTCTTTTCTCCATCGCCCAGACATGAAGATAGTTAATGGTAGCAGCTAGACGACGATGACTTAATGCCCGATTAACGTGCTTGCAATGTGAATTGAACATTGTTTGGTCCTTGAATGCGCTGAAATATTCTTCACGAATACGTTTTTCACAATTTTTTCTCACTTGATCACCTATTTTAATAGCTCTTGTTGTTGCTTTCCACGCTGAAAAATGCTGCCAGAGCTCTCGAGATGTGATTTTTAGACGTAGTTGCTCGACGAGATTAACAGTACGAGCGACTTCACACCACAGCAGAAAATACCTCCTTCGCCTCACATCAAATTGCACTCTCCAGGAGAGCCTTTTGACACGATTGGACGAATAAGCAAACGCTCTCCATCGTTGTAGCAGCTCTCGCTTACGTGCAAGGTTTACCTCCAGCTGATACTGTTCACACGTTAAACGCTGTCGCTCTTGAATTGCACACAAGTTGCGCATAGCCTTCATGCATCGTAGCATCGCAAGAGAATCTTGACGAGCTCGGAAAGCGTGAATACGCAGCTCGGTCCACGCAGAATGCATTATTCGCTGATGAAGACACCTTGTTCGTTGAGTTAAGACACCATTAACATACTTTCTTCGGATGGTAAATTGGATCCATCGCCTCCAAACTCGCTTCTGAATTAGCCGTCCCATAAAGGAACTCCGCCCCATATTCAGTAGTCTTCGCACCGCACAGGATCGATGTTTCCATTGAGCCCAGCGCGAAATTGCTCGAGATACTTTCCACGAATCAATAATCTGCTTTTTCTCATGCTCATATCTCCGTTGTTTCAGAAAATAAGCCCATTTCGTCATGGTATTTTGCATTAAAAAAGTATCTGCAGTTGCAGCACGTCGAGCTTTCCTTCTCCGATGCCTGGTGAATATCTTCCACTGTCGAAACCACGTCCGAAGAGCGCGACGATTTTGCTTAACTGACTGTGAACTAGACGAGGATGCTGAAGAGTTCGACGAGCGCTGACTGATACGCATTCGAGGTTTGTACGACTGTCTTTGCCGTGAAAGTTTCAGTAAATGAGACGATATTTCACTACCGTTTCCTCCGTTAAACTTGTTGCCGGAGTGTTGGCTACTGTTCGAATCATCAACCGAAGACTGTGTCATTCTCGAATGTAGCGGAAATATTACGGAAGGAGGCGGTAGAGCTGCCAGGAAGGCGTCATGTCGTCCATCTCTATCGCTCTTGGAGCTTCGACTTGGCTCGTCATCATCCGAACTGCGCTCCAAAATCCCCAAT